TTTCTTGTTGTTCTTGTCGGCATGGGATTTCGGAGAAGGTGTTGGAAGTACTGATGCAGCTTCACTCTTCGCCTTTGCTTTAGGTCGTTTGGGAGGATCACCTGTAGACGATGCAGCTGCTTCATTCTCCTTCTTGGTCTTAATGGGAGCAGCAGGTTTGTCAGCATCTTCCAGGGCAGGCGTCGTCTTATTAGAGGACAATGACAGTTTCACTGCACGTTCTCTATCTTTCAACAGTCGTTCTTGCTTCCCTCGTGCTATGTATCCTTTGATCATACCAGTTAGGTAAGCATAGGTCTTCTCAGGATGCCCTTCATCAAAGGTTTTGTATCGGTTGATATCAAATGCCATAAGCTTTGAGTGTTCAATCTTCCGGAACAATGTATCACGCAGGGAATTGTTGGAAGGCAGATCATCATGTTTCATATTGTATACGATGTCAAGCCACTTGTTGTAGAAGGCCTCAAGTTGGTCATCTCCATAGTAGTTGAACATATACAAATGATGGGCGTTGTAGAGAACTTCAGTGTGGTCAGGTGACTTGAAGCTAATCAGTATCATTGCGAACAGTTCTCGTCCCTTGATGAAGTCCCCACTTCTCCCATACAATTGGTTCTTCATGGACATGTCATACTTCACTTGCATGGACTTGTCCAAAGCATTGTCAATGACTTTCCTCAAGGCATTGGAGAGCTTGGCATCAATGGATTGAAATCTCACATCAGGTGCTTTGGCCAGGGCCTCCAGGTCAGGTTGATCTGCAAGACACGGAGCTAGCCACGCTTTCCAATCTTCATAGTTTCGATCTCCACTTGCAACACAAACTTCATGAACAACACTTCCCTTCCAGGATGAAAGTTCAGTGGTCTTAGGCCAGGGTTGGAGGCTGATCTTTTCGGCTTCTCTTAGAGATACGGATGACTTGGATCTATCCCTCTCAAGGTTCTCCAACTCCTTGACATTGGTGTTGTACTCGTTCCTGAGTTTCTCGAAGGCTTCAGCTTCTGCTCGGCATTCCTGCTCTTCATCGTTGGCGCGATCTTCAGCTTGAGAGAAATTGTTCTTGTAGTAATCTTTCCGATCTTCCATCTTCTTCAACTCATCTTGAAGATTTCGAACTTCATTGTTCCTCTCTTGCTTCATCTCGTCCAACTCTGCTTTCAGTTTGGCACACTTCTCTTCATATTCATTCCGAGGCATGGCATTACTGGGGTACCCATGTAATGTAGTCGGTCTATTCAATGATGAAGAAGAATGAGCCTGGTTTTCCAACTTCAGGGCAGCGATGGTGCTTGACATCTCTTCTACCTCAGCGAAACGCTCATTAGCCAATTGATGCATCTCGGTCAAGTGGCTTTCAGGAATGGAATAGTCAGTCGCACCTTTGATCACGAGTCTTCTGTCGTTCAACATCTTGATGGACTTACCTGCATCCCTGTGAGCACGCTCAAGAGAGTCCTTTTGGGCTTCAAGTTCAGTATGAAGGCGAGCAATGGCTGTATCCCTGTCATTGATTTCATTGTGCAAACTGTCGAACAAATTACTCGTCACATTCGGATTGCTACTCATGTGATCGATCTTGTTCAGAGCATCTTGATACTTCTTACCAGTTTCATCGAAATGTTGCTGGAAGGTTTTGAGCAGGTTCTCAGTGTCAATGAGTTCAGTTCTGTTTTGCAAGTACAACTTGTCAACTTCAGCCTTGGATTCTTTCAAGCTGTCACGCTCACGTACGGCTTGCATATACATCTCGTATAGTGGTCCTCCATGCGGTGATCTGCTTGGTGAAGATCTTCTGGCTTGTTGACAGGAAAGTTCATGATACTGATTCTTCGATTCAGTCAGTTGTTGTTGCATTCGATCTAAAAGACTTTGTTTCATGTGTAGTTCAGAACGTAGTCCCATTATCCTCATGTCCCGCATGCCGCCTGATTCAGCTAGAGATTCTTCAGAAACCTTGTTCTCAGAAATCGCTAGTCGAGATTGTAAGTTTTCATTGTGGATCACCTGCAATCGAAGTTGCGATTCTTCCAAAGCTAAGTGATGTTCACATTCTGCATAGCGGTCATGTTCAGATCTTATGTTACTACGGAACTCCTTCATGATCTCGTCCCTCTTCATGTCAGCAGCATCGAGCTCAGTTTCCAGTCGTCTAACGTTCATGGCCATGGTGTGCTTCATTGTTTGGTTCTGATTGGCAACCTCGAGCATCTCGATTTGTAAAGCACATGTTTGGTCGTTAGCGTAGCCGACCGCTAGAGCTTCTTGCTTGGCATTCATCTCTGCGTTTTCCAGTTCAAGTCTGAGTTGATTGATGTGAGCATTCGCATCAGCGCCCACATGCACCATAATTGCGTTCGCTTGTCCCATTTGTTCATCAAATTCCGAACGTAGTCGTGAATATTTGAATTCCAAATGAGATGCAGCTTCATTCGACATAGTCTGATACCTCTCCAACTCTTCGATCCTGTAGGTCGCACCTTCATCTTCTTGTTGTGCAGCCTGTAACTCGAAGTTCAGCATCTGGAGTTGTTCAGTCATCGACATCATCTCTTGATGAGTGGTGCTTTCCAGGAAATTAAATTGTTGATAGGCATATGCTGTCGTCTCAGTCAATCTTGCCTGAAGTACGGATTCTTCTTCAGTAGCCTTTTCCAGTGATGCTTTGTATTCAGCTAATTCGCTCTGATAGGCAGTGAAGATGTCGCTACCACTTGACGGGGCGTTCACTTGCTGATAAGATCCTGTCCCTGATGGAGTAGCGTCCTGAATCGGCGAAGGCGGATTCGACGACGTAGTCTTTGCCTTAGTCCTTGGAGTCATCGGAGGCGACAATTGTCGTGCAGATGATCTTCTCTTTCCAGGTGTGCTGTCCCTATCTTCAATTGCTTGCATTGTCGAAATTTGTCTCCCTCTAGGAGCAACCAGAGGTCGCCTGGGTAGGCTTGTTCTCAGTTCTGAGGCATCGCTTCCACCAGTGTCGATACTCTGTGAAGAATTTGACTGCGTGCCGGCAGCTGGTGCAACGGCATGTCCAGAGAAAGAAAATGCGTTATCACTGCTATCCTGTTCAGTCATCTGTAAGGCCCGCGGCTACCCGCTCGTAGGCTCCGTAGGAGTCCTACGGCTGATAACCTGTGAATCGGAGGTTATCTCCCCGATTATGTGCTGTTGTTTGATCTTGAGGTTGATGTTCTCAACGACGACGACACGGGAGTTGCAGTTTCAGCATGGCGGCGTTTTCTCTTGGCACCTGCAGTGATCTTGAGCCAAAGGAGCAGATTGATGCACCCCTTGGCGGTGGACAATTAAGAGCTGAATTATATGGGAGTGTGCAGTGATCCGTAGCCTACACTCTACTCGCAATATATATGGAGTTGACATAAAGAGATCAAGATATACATGTGTAGATATATTATATATGATTGATGTGTATAAATCAAATATAATTATTCTATATAATGATATAAAATGTTGTAAAAATATATATGCTATATTCTATATTATACGTCATTATGCTGTTATATCATATATATATATACACACACCTTTGGGGGTTTCACTTGAAAGCTGTTCACTGCTCGGGGTGACCGGTGCAAAAAACTCTCTACGCGCAGCGCACCAGGCGCCCACTGGATGAGCGCCCGGGCGCAAAAGGCGTGTTCTCCCACGAGCAGAAATGCTTCATAATGATAACAATAACATGCCTATAATATGTATATATATATGTATATATATAATGTATAGTAATATCATCATTGTATATTATATATATACAGTATATTGTTCATGTACCTGGTAATGATGATCGTCAAGATAACAAGAGTAATCATCAACACAAGAAACATCAAGGATGATGACGAGTAATAATAACAATAGTCACAATGAGATGAATATGATATGAATATCAACATTCTTCAACCAGTAATACGGGATTGTTTCCCATTACTATGCTGACAGTTGGTGGTTTCAACATTGTTCAAGTGCTTTTTGTTATTGGATTAATTGGATCATCCCAGGTTAGCAACAAACCTTTGAATGGGATCATTGGATCATTGATGGACATTGATGGACATTGATGGACGAGTTTTTGATGAAAAAGCTTGAAATTTTTTAAACCAAACTGAAGCATCTGAAGCCTCACAAACTTCTGCCAAATGTCGATTCTTAGCGAATTCCCAATGGATATCTCTGCTCGTAGGTAAGCTGAGCTGTGCGCTGGCACCCCAGCTGTGTAGGGCACCCCATCCGAATGGACTGTTCCAATCTCCGTGGATTTGAATGGATGTTTCCTCTGCGAGCTGATCTTGTGGTCTACTGAGGATTTCCAATTTGAATATCTATCTATCATAGTCTATCATAGTCTATCATAGTCTATCATAGTCTATTAACTATATAGTCTATCATAGTGTGGCTTACCCGACCCTCTTACCGCTTACATGGATCGCGCAGTCGCGCAGTCCCTGCCCCGGAGTCTGATCGGATGGTTCCAGGATGTCTGCGATGCCGCACGCAGCGGCGCCTTTTTTGCTTCCGAATTTCAGGTGTCACCTGACAGAAGGAGCGCTTCACCTGGACCTTCTCATGACATCGACAGTCTATGTCTGTCAAATCATTCTAATGATTCTAATGGGCTAAACCCGCTAAATCCAATAGAAAATTCTACTCCATTGACCCAATTTCACCAATTTCTGTGGGTGAATGGATTAGCCGAAAACATAGCCCTGCCTCAAATGCGATGGATCCGGCGCCTCAGCGCAGCGGGGTTCCTGTGCCAATGTCCGATTGAATGTAGTACAGATATATTAACATGCTGATTTACAAATGATCATGGGAATCATGCCTTATTATATTGTATTTTATCAACCTGATGATATTTAGATGCAGCTTATTTAATATAATATATATATAAATACATATATATATATTGTACCATTATATACTATATCAGATCCGGTTGGAGAATAACATGATTTACGTCTCCGGCTCCACTTCTCATCTCAGTTTCCGGGCTGGCTCGGCACTGCCTGAAGCGTGGTCTGAAAATAGGGGATATCATGGATATCGGGATACCCATCAATAGCCATTTCAACACATTTCAATAGGGAAAATGATGATAATTGAAATTGGAATTATTGGAATGGGGGGAAGCCCATTTTCAGACAAACCTGTATGTTTGTACCTCCAAACATCCATAAAATGTGCGAAAATTGTGGGTGGTTTTCCCGACATGTTCCAACAAACATAATATCTAATCTTTTTATAGTTTCCTGTTATCTCCCAAAAAAAAGGAGAATAGATAGATATTGGAAAGTTCAACAAATTGAGTGCTATTCAGCTTCGACACAATACCCACCTTTCTTTCCCTAATCTGCCTGTTTGGGTTCCCATTTGACCCCCAACCTCGGTGATCGTCCGCACATCGGCTGTGAAGTCGGTGCAGACCTTAATGGCCACAGGTTTCATCGGTTTCATCCTGCTGGAGCGCCGCGTTCAATTGGGGCTGCGGCAGCTTCCAAACTCGCTAAACGCTTCGTAAGATCGCAGGGCTCCACTTGAAGCTCCTGGCAAGGGCTTGTTGGGCTTGTTTCGTAACGATACTCAGAGGCAACTACGTAACTACGTAGCGGCTGCATTCTGGTTGAGATGCTCACAAACCATCTCATGTTTGAGGCTACCAATGTTTAAACCTGCACCCAAATATCATGCAAAGGAACGATAGCCATCCCTCTCAGACCCACTTCGTCCCAGCCTCCGTCCAAATGGCCTGCCAGAACTACTGCGTGAAGTCTGTGTGTACAACATGTATCCAAATCATACGATAGATCTAATATAGTATGTATTCATAGAATTTCACAGAATATAGATATAAATAATATAAGTATAGACATAGATGTAGTTATAAATTGAAATCAAATGCAGAATCTGTGCGTCTGCCTCTTGGGGCGCTTCTGGCGGTAGCCTCAACTGGTCACTGATCAAGGATGGAGGTATCATGACAGGAATCATACCATAAACCCCCCAACGAAAATGTAGGTTTTCAATGGGGGGTATCATGACATTTCAATACATTTCACGGATCTTCACGGCATTGTTGCGACATTTCTGTTGGTCTTCTATGAGAAGGTCATGATATCAATGCATGACCTGTGCTCTTGACAATGAGAAGGTCATGATATCAATGCCTGACCTGTGCTCTTGGACAGCCAGCGATACCAACTATGAAGTCGGACTGAGCTAAGAAGGTTTGCAACCCAACATGAAAGCATGCAAGTGATCTTGCATCAAAAAGAAAAAACGGTCCTGCCATTTTGTAGAGTAACCCCAAAAAATGAAGGTACAGTAATCATAATGTGTTGGTAATGAAAATAACAACAATAACAATGATAATGACCATCATCATCATCATCATCATCAGATATAGCCTTTCTAATGGCATGCTACTTTTCTACCCTCTAAAAAGGGTTTTTTTTACATGTTGCTCCGAGGTGTTGCTGAGACACGGATGAAGTGGTGGAGAAGGACCAAAGTAGTAGGACTCTGGGGTCGCCAAGCCTATGCCGCCGGATGGGACGATGGGACGAAAACATCATGGGGAGCATGGAAATTGGCAAATTCCCCAATAACCACTAATAACCAACCTAAAAGTTGAGAAACAAAAAAAACTGTAGGGTAATTCCAGGGTAAAGTGGAGAACACTACTCCTTTCAAATTCATCATTGCAGGGAGCCCATTCGATGGCCACATTCGTCGTTTCATGGTGAAGTGCAGCGGTGAAGCCCTTGCGCGCGCCTTGTCCGTACCACATCCAGGGCATCGGCAAATCATGCCTGGGCAAGAGGACAACGGTTAGGGCCAAAGGGTGATGCCCAGCATGCCATGGAATAGAATGGAAGCACCAAAAAAAGTATACCAGGTTTCTCCGTTTCTCCTGTTTCTGCAGGTACTTCCGGAAAATGCCAACAAAAGGGCCGCCGAAAGACTACAATTTTTGTAGTACCGCAAGACCGGTGCGTGGACACGCACCCTTGAAGTTGTTGAGCATCTCAGTTTTCAGATGTTTCCATGTTTTTTGCGTAAATTTCCAGGTGATTCATATATTTCCATGTGTTTCCAGATCTTTCCAGATGTTTCTCCTGTGAAGATTCCAAAAATCCTCTGGTTTCTCCAAGCTCATCACGGAGGAGTGTATGGAAAGGCTCCTGCCTGCGAGATTTGCTGCAGATTCGAATAGGACGGCTGTCCGAGTTATTCGAATGTGGTTCTTCTTTCTATGTTTGTATGTCACTGCGCGTGTATATACATATGTATATATATATATATGATACAATATATATGTATGTATGTATGTATGTATGTATGTATGTATGGATGTATGGATGTATGGATGTATGGATGTATGTATGTATGTATGTATGTATGTATGTATGTATGTATGTATGTATGTATGTATGTATATTTATTATTATTATTAATATTAATACTATTATTATTATTAATAATTGTTATTATTACTATTATTATTAATATTACTATTATATATATACGTATATATAAGTGTGGAATGCCTGGATGAGTAGAACCATGAAATCATGAAAATCCCTGTCAGAGACAGTATCAAATCAGTCGGAGATACCTGCGCCACCTGGCAGTTTGAACTTCTCTGGGGATTTTTGTTGGGAACTTCTCTGAGACTTTGCAAGAATTTGCCATGAGACCAACAATTAAAACTTAAATCACTAGAATTTTTATGTTCTACACACGTGTTTTTATCAATTTATTCCATGTGCATGATTTTGAGGCGACTTGTGCGTATTGCTGTTGCTGGCTTAGATCCCAATTTTAAGAGACTCTTGTTGAGTCTCCCAAGAAACCAGAGAGGAACCACGGCCAAACATGCCAAGGGCCGCGTCTAGCACATTCAGTGCATTGCCTCAAAGTCACATCTGGCTTCCGAAAGTTTTTCTCATGGCTACTCCAAAATCGGTGAATTGGTGAATTGGTGAATCAGCTTAAGTTCCTTATGAAATCTTATGAAAATAGCCATGAAAAACCGCGCTTCACCCTGGTTGTGCTGAGTCTGCCACTGGTCGCTCGGCCTGCCATGGTGCCATAGCCAAACACCTGATCCTGACTGAGGCCTAACAATCCATCCATCCATCCGACACAAGCCCTGCCTGGAGTAGCCACCTACAACGTCCAACAAAGATGGGACATCTCATGCCATGATCACAGAAAAATGGATTAATAGATGGATTGTCTTCAATGGTTTAATATGGTTTAATCATGTTGTTTTAGGTGATTTTTAGGTGACTGAATATCGTGATGTTACATGAATTTACCCTGTAAATACATGTTATATTGTCCAAACAGGAGATGAGGAGATGGAAAGATGACTGGGCCCCACCTCAGGAGGGCCCCAAGGATCCGCCTTTGATTTGGGTTCCCTCAGGTCTTCTGGGCCATGAGCGTGATTGCAACGCTCGCCCTTTAAGCATCTGCCACGTTCATAGAAGTGGCACATCCTCAGATTCGGGCGACCCACCGTGACCTACCAGGGACCTGGGGACCTCCCTGGGGACCAGGCTGGGTTTTGTAGATCCCATCTGTAACGCGAAGTTGCACCTCTCAACTTGGTGAAAACTTGGCGAAAACTTGGCCAGAATTCGCTGCTGGAAGAGTTTCTGGAAATGGAGGTGACACTGAGGTGTCCACTTCTCCATGGGCATAAACGCAGTTCTCACCTCCCAGCTGAGAGCTTCGGTTGGGGGGGATGACTCGGGGATGACTCTAGTCGCAGTCTAAGCAGTCTAAGCAGTCTAAGCAGTCTAAGCAGTCTAAGCAGTCGCAGAAGGACTTGACTGATTGCACCACATGCTGAGTTTTCTGATTGCTTTCCTGGAGAAAGCCACCTGCAGAACAGTGTCCCTCCGCATAGGCTTTGCACAACTTCCTGAGGATGCCACATCACTGACACCACTGGAATACAAAGATGCATTGATCTTTTGATGCAAATTTTCTCGACGAACATTGGTAAACCCCAGATACCTATCACACAAGAACTACCATCTAGCTCTTTGCGTTCCAACTTTGGTGATCTTCGCGATGTTCCACTGATGTTCCACTGATGTTCCACTGATGTTCCACTGATCCGCTCGGTTTCTGACGTTTTTTGTAGGTCTGGCGCACTGCGCAGCTCCGAAGCACTGTGCGCATAGCGGCATGTGGCACCTGATGTGAAATCTGGGATGGCCACAGGTAAGGCTCCTACCGGGAAAACAAAAACGTTTGGAAAAAATGGCCAGCTCAAAATAAAGCCATATATATAGCAAAAAGTCTATATAACAAAAATACATATCATATACACAAACTAATGTAATAAATTCAATCAACTCACAATATAGACAATTATAGATGGTCAATTCTGCTGGCTGCTTGGCCGATGTTCCTTGTCTCTGAGGTCGTCGCTCGCACATTTTCCTCGCTCGAAGAAGTAGCACATCTTCCTCAGCGTCGGCAACACCACCAAGACTTTGACCTTTGAAACACGAAGAGAACGACTAAGGACTAGTAGATTATTGATGATTATTGGTGATGATTGATGATTATTGATGATTATTGATGATTATTGATGATTATTGATAATTTTTGATGATTATTGATGATTATTGATAATTTTTGATGATTATTGATGATTCTTGATAATTTTTGATGATTATTGATGATTATTGATGATTATTGATGATTATTGATGATTATTGGTTTTTGGAAGGATTCATAGCCAAAATTTGACCTGTTTTTTGGTGCGGCCAAAAGTCTCCACGATTCAGCCACCTTTCATTAGTTTCTTCATTCTTAGCACATAGGTCAGATATATTCACATATCTGTTTTGACCTTACGCGTTTGAATTCTCAGCTGCGCACGTTTTCATAAGCCTTGCGGTCACTGCATTCTCTGAACGATCGGATGGCTTCACCTGTGCCAAAACTTTGGGCCGGGGACATTCGAAAGTTTCTGACACAGAAATTGAATGGGAAATTGTATGAAATTGACATAAATATCCATTGAAATTGACTGTTGATATCTGTTGATATTTGACTGGGAAGGTTCGTGCACCTCTCCAGGTTTCTTCGGTGCCTTGGACATCCGGCCTGTCGAAACCGAAAGCGATGCCTATCTAAACAGATCTAAACCTTACAAATTCTCGGAAAAAAAATGCTTAAGAGCTACAGATCAATATGTTTTCTCACTAGACTCACTAGACTTCACGGATCTTAATAGATCTTAATAGATCACTTACTAAACCCCTCAAAGCCATGCCTTTCCCACCTCGGCTCGCCACGCCGGGCTTCATGACTTCACCTGAAAAGTTTTCAGCGCTTTCTCGTGTCGGACATGTCATGATCTCATCCAAAGTCGCATCAAAATGTCATCTAAAAAATATTGTTCTTCAGATATCATATACATACATATAATCAATATGTAATCATACATACATAATCAATCATAATCATGTATAATATCATATCCATGTATATATATATATATACATATATGCATAGATATTGTTAATGTTATCATATGTTGCCAAATGAATGTATGGTAAATATGATGCCAGATGTTTGTGCAGATCCCACCTGGCTTCTCTGGGCGTCGCTCGCCCCGCTCGCCCCGCTCGCCCCGCTCCGCCGCCATGGCGCCTGGTGCCTGGTTTCGATGATCCCATTGGAATCGAGATGGAATGAGATGGAATGAGATAAATCTGGTAAATTTGGATTCATTTGGGAATTTGGGAGAGGAGCTTTTTTGGCAGATCACAAGACATTCACAAGACATGCACAAGCGTTCGCAAGACATTTGCAAGACATCCGGAAAAAAAAAAAACAGCAGTTGGACTGTCAGTTGGGCTCTCTTGGGATGCTGGGACCGATGTAGAGACACTGGGATGGTGCTCAAACACTGACGTTGGTCCGGAGCAAAGGATAGCAAGAGACTGTTATCGAAGCATGGCCATGTCGTTGGATTCCTTTGTGTACCACATAAAGCATGGGTCCAAAGATGTGGAAACACTGAGCAATCTGAGCGCAGCAGCCTTCAGCGACTTTTCGCATTGGTCAGCATGCCACCGTGCATCGGAAAGAGCTGCAGAAAGGTGGAAAATATGGAAAATATGAACAAATTCTGGTGCATGTTTGATACACTCTGTCGAAACCTCTTGTGTTGCAAAGCTCAAAAGACCATTTGTTGCCTGGCCAATATGAAGAAACAAAATCTGTGCAACATCTGGACCGCTTGAGTCTTTTTGAGCGCGGTCTGGGAAGGCTGCAGCCCTTTGGGCGAGCAACCGTGCCCGGCTCACCTGACAAACGATCATCCACTATCAAAGATGTCAATGTCAGTGTCTGTACATACTTTTCTATATATGCGCACAGATGGATATATAGTAGTGTATCTATATCTCTATATATATATACAATTATATAGTATTGTATATCTTATATGTAGTCATCAACCCCAAAATCATTTTTTGAAAAGGCACTCCAACCCATCAGCATCCTAGAACAACATCCGCCTTGGGTGAGAAGCATCGTCGCGAGTCACTTTTCCGCCGCGTGACTCGGCAGCCACCTAATCCGAAAGTTCGGGTTTCAAAATGATTGATGGGATTTAACCATCAGTTATTGTAGTTTTATGATAGTTTATATAATGATTTTATGGTAGTTATAGCAGAATCAATACCTTCCAGTAACTTAATGTTACCTCTGGTATCGATTGCCCATTTAGTTCGATGATTTACGACCGATGTCTGGAGAACATCACCCAACCGAAGCAGCTCATGCTGAATGGTGACCCTGTGGCTTCAGGTTGGAACCCCAAGGAGCTGATTCAAACGCACCATTTCCTTGACGACATGATACAATGTTATACTACATGTACATGCAGTTGTGATGATAGTGATGATGCAATTACTCTCTCTCTACTTTTTCCTTGAGATCTCAAGCAAAGTTCATCCACCTTCCAGCACGTCTCATCTCATGATCATCTCATGTTGGTGTTTGATGGTTTTGTATGGTTTTTGTGTCGTTGTTCACCAATGTTTGGCAAGACAAAGCTGAGGCAACGCACACACCCGGCGCTGTCGGATCGCGATATCCCAACGCCATGAAGGCCTCGGAGGCTCAACGCTTGAGTTGCGATGTGTTTT